GATAGGGGGGGGGGGGAGGAGAGGGGGCGTGGGAAGTGGGAGAAAAGACACATGGTGTCGTTCAGCTGGTGATAATTAGTAGCTTAGCTTCGTTAAATATGTGGCAGAAACCAGACTAGGCCAGACCTGATCAGACCAGGCCCGATCAGATCAGATCAGACCAGACCAGACCAGACCAGACCAGATCAGACCAGACCAGGCTTCACCCGTTCGTTGACCGTGCCGAGAACCAGCGAATGGCTGATCATTTCAGGCCGACGTCAGAGAAGAAAGTAGGCGGAATTCAATCGGCAGATGATGATGATGATGATGATGATGATGATGATAGAGGGGGACCACCCATCGCTTTCCTGCTTGAGGCTGATTCACTCTTGAGAGTCACTGTGGAGGGAAGGAGATTGATGACTCTGGCATCAGGACGACAGCACTGACAAGGCAATCAGTGTCACGGAAGATGATGTGACATCATTACGTTCGCTGATCTCCCTCCACTAACGCGCCACGTGGCATAATCTGGAGCGATCGATCGATCGGACATCTGCCAGGTGGCATAATTCGGAGCGCGCCACGTGGCATTATCTGGCGCGACAAGGGGGGAGCGAATGTAGAAGATCGGAGAGCGGTGTGAGAGATCCACAACGAGTAACTAAGATCGTTAATTATTTCCACAAACAGCAGAAATTAGAAAACTAAACGGTTGATTGATTGATTGATTGATTGGTTGGTTGGTTGATTGATTGATTGATTGGTTGGTTGGTTAATTGATTGTGATTGAATGGTTGGTTGATTGATTGAATGCTTGATTAGATGGTGGTGATCAGATGGGGAATTCCATGAGATAAGAAGAGCACTGTGGTAATCCGACGGTCAGCACACCGTGGTCGATTGTGGGAATGGATGGATGCCAATTGAATGGATGTAGACGCCCAAGTGGACCCCATTCTATCGATCATAGGCACGGAGAAATGGATCCATGAATAAATGTATGGATACCGTTAAACGGGTAAAGGGGGGGGATGAATAAAAGTCACGGGATCGACGTACGCTTCGGCAGGAAATCATGGACTCGATCGTTAAGTGACACTCACCCACCCATCCATCCATCCATCCATCCATCCATCCATCCATCCATCAGAGAGCGACGGCCTAGAAGGCGACATGGCTGGAACACACACGAGAGAGCACTTTCTGGCGCAGACTGGTGGGGACCACACTCGAAAAGCTTTAGGACCACCTGACACGTGCAGGACGTACGGCATAAGTGGGGACCCCTAATACGTGGGCCTGATAACGAGTGCACCCCTATTTCTAAATACGTCGACCTGAAATCGGAGACACTACGCCACCTGACCAGCAGCCAGGTAAGGCGTTGACCTCTCTCAGGCGAACACGTGTTGAAGTCAGTTGGACGTGTTGACCAGCCAACCTGACTCGTGTTGAACGTGTTGACCAGTCAGCGTAACACGTGCCAGACGTGTTGACCAGCTAGCCTGACTGGTCAACGCGTGTCGGATTGACTGACACGTCAGGTCAACGCGTGTCGGACTGACTGACACGTGTCGGGTCAGTCAGTCCGACACGCGTTGACCTGAAAGGCTGAAACAGCCTGATTTTTGTCGGACGTGTTGACCAATCAGCGTGACTCGCATTGACCGTCTTGACCAGCCGGCCTGACACGTGCCAGACGTGTTGACCAGCTAGCCTGACACGTGTCGATCAGTCAGTCCGACACGTGTTGACCAAAAACAGCCTGACAGGCCCTGACTCATGTTGGACGTGTTGACCAGTCAGCGTGACTCGCGTTGAACGCGTTGACTAGTCAGCCTGACACTTGCCGGACGTGTTGACCAGCTAGCCTAACACGTTCCGATGAGTCGGTCCGACACGTGTTGACTTTATGAAGCAGCCTGACTCTTGTTGGAGCTGTTGACCAGTCAATCTGAATCTTGCTGGACGTGTTGACCAGAAACAGCCTGACGCGTTTCTGACGTGTTGACCAGCGAGGCTGAAACGTGTCGATCAGCCAGTCCGACACGCGTTGACCAGAAACAGCGTGACACGTGTCGATCAAGCAGATCGACACGTGTTTGAGCAAAGCAGCCCGGCACGTGGTGGTCAGCCAGCAGCGAGTTGCTTTTCACAGATTATGTGTGAATGGATGGTACACATGAATGCGACTAGGAGAGCATACTCACAGTAGGACTCTGTCGACTCAGCTCTAGACGTGATTGCAGTTAGATACATCCAGCTCACGGTGCAATTCCTGTCAGATACATCCAGATCATGGTGGGATTGCAGTCAGATACATACATCCGGTAAAGTCCTAGTGTGAGTACGCCCCTCAATAATGATAGTAAACACATGAACGATACTAATTACACATGAACGATACTGAAATACACATGTGGGGACTCTCTCTCTGTTCGTCTCGCTGCTCTAGACGTGATTCGGGTCAGATTCATCCGGGGAGACACTGCGGTGCTCGGGCTCCGTGCGCAAATTGGCTCTCTCTTCGTCTCGCTGCTCGAACGGCAAGCTGCATGGTGGGATTTAATAACAGGTAGGTACACGTAGAAGAGATATATACCCTCCTCGTGGAACATACCCCCCCCAGAGATATATACCCTCCTCGTGGAACATACCCGTCTCGATTCGATGCAATGCAACAAGGAGGGTCGTGGTTTGCTTGCCCTCTCTCCGACCTGTGCAGGCGGTGACGGACTCTGCCCAGCCACAGGGTGACCTTTCACTTCAACAGGCAGCCAGCTAGCAAGGCTAATCAAGCAACCACGTAGCCAGACAAGTACTACGTTAACTTAGCCAAATCCAATCAGTCCCCTTGGTTCTTCTCACGGCACGTCTCGATTCCACATCCTGGTGCTGCCTGGCCTCAGCCTTGAGGACACGTCCGTCTATTCGACAATGTCACGGTGATCGTGCTGTGCCGCTCAACGGTTGTAACGGGTCTTTTTTTTTCGCCGTCTACAAGAATACCTCGTTTGCCTCGTTTACGCAAATCCAATCCGTTGGGTGGTTAGGCAAATCCAATCTCCCCACCCTTCTTCTTCTTCTTCTTCTTCTTCTTCTTCTTCTTCTTCTTCTTCTTCTTAGCTAAACGGAGAACTTAACGGAGAAGCCCCATGTTTGGTTGGTAGGCCGTTAAGTGGTAGGGGTGGCGGAAATTCGAGAGACTGGAATGACTCCCAAGAGCATGGGTAGATGAAACCCCACGGTGGTCCCCACCCCCTCGACCAGCGCTAGTTTGGAACTGACCGGGGTTAGTGTGGAACTGACCGTGGTTGGTGTGGAACTGGAAAGCAGAAGAAGGACCTGGGGTACCAGGCGGGACATTGTGGAACCCGTTGGGTTGATTAATGGGTTGCCTGTGGAACTGACCAGGGTTAGTGTGCAACTGACCAGGGTTGGTGTGGACCTGCAAAGCAGAAGAAGGAGAAGAAGAAGGACGAGAAGAAGAAGACGAAGAAGGACCTGGGGTACCAGGCGGGACATTCTGGAACCCAGTGGGACGAGCTGGGACAGCTGGGACAGGACTCGAAGAACTAGTACCATTGTGATAAACGGAACTCGAACCATTACCATTGTGATTATAACCATGAGAATAATTCTGAGAGTGAGAACGAGGGAGGGAACGAGAGTGAGAGAGGGAATGAGAGAACTGCCGGGGGCTGCCATTGTTGTTGCTGCCGCTGGTAGAAGATGGAGATCCTGCTGCTCCTCCTCCTCCTCCTGCTGCTTCTCCTCCTACTACTACTACAACTGCTGCTGGTCCTCCTCCTCCTCCGGCCCCTCCTCCTACTGAAGTTCCACGCCGATGGCAGACTGGTTGCTGACCCGCCCTGCGGGAAGCATCCACTACCCGATTGGTATCCCTACTCCTCCTCCTCATGCTCTCCACGAAGTTCTTGAACCTCGTGAATTGAACGTCATCCAGCAGAAGAGGCGTCAGTCTCAAGTAGGTTAACCCTGCAAGAGGTGGCAGGAGGTGTCGCTTCTTTGGCTGACCTCTCTCACTCGAGCTGTCCTCGTCCACAACCACCTCGAAAGACTGAGTCAGCATTTGCCGGAACGCCTCGTCGTCGTATCGAGACAGCGCGTTCTCGCCCGTCAAGGGTACTCTTCTCCTCGCTGCCGCAAGACGCACCTGCCATGGATACCCCATCGGCACCCAATTGACAGTCCCAAAGCAACATCAACCCAATTCCAAAGGTTGGCAGGGAGGACGGATAACGAGAGGAGCGAAAGGAACTACAGAAGGAGGGGTGTGTGTGTGTGTGTGTGTGTGTGTGTGTGTGAGAGAGAGACAGAGAGAGAGAGAGAGAGAGAGAGAGAG